GAGTATGTCTTGCATTTTGAGTTGATATTATGGTAGATGAGCCTCTGTCCCCATATTAGAAAGATCTGTGTCAAATTCATGAAAGCCATGCAACAGTTTTGTTACTATTACCTACGCCTGTAACCAATTCCGGCAGTTCTTATGTGTCACACTTTTTGCATTCAGGTGCTACGGTTGCGGCATATTCAAAGATATACCGCCATATTCGTGATGAGAAAGCTTGCGCCATCTGGATAGAAGACAGATTTCTAATGAGAGTCTGCTCCAGGAAATGTTTCATAAAATGAGACCCAAAACTTGTACAAAGTACGCAGGAGGCAGGACCCAACCTTGCTGCAAATTTTCTTTTTCTAATAACCTGATGACCCAATAAATCCAGAACCGTCCCATAGTCCTCAGTAACCTTACCCTTATTCAACGAATCGCATGTATTATTTTCCCTGCAGCACTCTCAGTCTATAAAATACCCATCTAAGATCTCCCTTGGCCATGACTGATTTCATTTTCATCAGCATTCCTAACTCTCTCTACACATCCGATTCTAGAACGCACTGGAACACATGATAAATGAGAAACAATGCATTCAGAAGGCATCCCTCCCATGTGCAGCTATTGTTTAAATGCTATGACGTCATTTAAAGCGATTCGGTCTGTAAACTGCTAACGTGCTGGTCCTGATGCTGTTTTGCCTGTCTGATGCCATCATCTGATCCCTGCATGGAATGAAAAGCAGTGAGATGTCACTTACAGCAGGACACCGAGTGCTTCCCGTGCTGCGTGCAAGCAAAACACATCGCTGAATGAGGCTCTGTCAGCTGGGATGTACGGCCAGTGGAGGGCGTGGGCTAGATGTCTGCATGCCTATTCCTGGAAGATGAAGCAATGCCCTGGAAGCGTTTTCCTCTCTGGGTAAAGATTCATGAATAGCTGGTAAGTCATGGACTGGGAGAACATGTCTAATCACATCTCGCCACACAACGAAGCTTTACCAGTGTGGATTTTAAAGGATAGTATGTGACGTGGGTATAGCCATCTTCCACTTTACTATGAAGTGACACAGAGTCAAGGTGCGAGCAACTTGCAGCCATACACTGGATAGTAAAGACACACTCAATAAACATCATGGAGGAGCTTATAATAAGTTTTTCTGTTTTAAATAATCTCTCTTATGTGTAAAGTGGAATGAAGGGCAAATATGATACAAAAGTGTAATTTCCCATATTAGAGGTGGACCCTGGGATAAGCTAATATTGCCTAAACCAGGAGTAGGCTACTCCGGCACTCCAGCTCCGGGGGTAGGTAACTCCGGCACTCCAGCTCCAGGGGTAGGCTATTCTGGCACTCCAGCTCCAGGGGTAGACAACTCCGGCACTCCAGCTCCAGGGGTAGGCAACTCCGGCACTCCAGCTCCGGGGGTAGGTAACTCCGGCACTCCAGTTCCAAGGGTAGGCTACTCCGGCACTCCAGCTCCAGGGGTAGACAACTCTGGCACTCACTGTGATAGAACTACAAGTCTCATGAGGCATTGCAAGACTGACAGCCACAGGCATGACATTTAGAGGCAAAGGCATGATGGTATTTGTAGTTTCACCACCAGGAGTGCCGATGTTGCCTACCCCTGGGCTAAACATAAGAAGCATTTGTATTCTTATTTGAATGTTGTGCTTTGCGTATTTCTTCCAGATCTGTGCAGGAATCCAGTGTCAAACTTCAAATAGAACATTGCCTGACTTTCATGGTACCACAAGAACATTGCCTGACTTTCATGGTACCACAACACTTTGTAAAGAAAAACTCCAGTTAAAAATGTTATTAACCCTTGTATTTGGGAAAGTGTCAGGTGCTTGTTTTTGCCTAGGGTCAAAAATATAAAAGTTATGCTCACCCGATCCTTGCCGGCTGTGACGGCACTCCCTTCAGCCTGTCTCCTCCTCCGCTGCAGTGGAGGAGGAGACAGGCTCCAGTGACCAGTCTAAGAGCAAGCCGGCTCAGAGCATCGGGTGAGTATAACTTTTTTATATTTGATCCTAGGCAAAAACAAGCACTTAACACTTGCAGTGCGGGGGTAGCACCACTCCAAGGTTTAATAACATCTTTAACCGGAGTTCTGCTTTAATTGTTCAATCATTTTATTAAAACACATTAAAAGACAATCATATCAAAATATACAAACATTTTTTTATAGTAATAGGTCATAGTTTTCCTGAGAAAAGTGATTTTCTCAGGAAAATACATATTCATATGTATTGAAGTCTGTTAATGAAATTATCGGATGTGGTACAGCTCAGCCACAATCAATTTATAGATCCAGTAATCCAGCGCGTCAGAGCTTCCTGTAATAAAGACCAGTCACTGCTGCTCTTTCTCCTTGTGCAGGGTAACTGGTCTTGTATCCGCCCCTCCTGTAGCTTTCTGCGGGCAGCCTGTAGTGGATCCCTCCCACATGCTCAAGTTATGTGCAGCACCATGATAATGCCATTAATAACTGGGTTTGCAAAGGCATTTGGTGCACATAGTGGATGTGCATCCTTTGTGGCTACTGATGAATATGTTTAAATAAAAGTTTTTATGCCTGAAGTTTATTTTTAGCTATTCAGATAAATGTGACCAGTGCAATTACAGTATATAATTGTGACTGCTATAGGTTTCTAAACTATCCACAGGGCCCTTTGAATAGCTGTGAATGTTTGTTCTGTGCAGATATATGCCTAAACAAATGTTCTTTAGTTTCTTTACAAGGCAATGTATTTTCAAATTTGTCATGCAATACCACATTATGGCCACTAGATGTCGCTGAGAAGTATAGCAAATAAAGACTTATTTCCTATGCTCCTTTAGCTCCATCTAGTGACCATAATGTGATATTATATGAAAACATTCACAAATTCATTACACTTGTAAAGAAAATAACCAAAGAATGTTCGTTTTGGCATATATTTGCACAGAGTGAACATTCAAAGATAGCCACAGAAAGAACAGCCCTGCAGATTACTTATAAATAGACCCCTATGCCTTCACCATTGTATGGAAGAAGCAAAGCCTAACATTCCATATGCGGGGTGCTTATGATGTAACTCTCAGTTGGTTGCAGGAGTTTAAAGAACATCTAGCCTGCTTTTAAAGTTATGTTTTAAAGACTACAGTAAGTTCGGAAAAAAACATGCAAATATCGATAGAATGTATACTGTAAATAATTTTCAAGTGCTGACGTTAGAACAGAGACAAGACTTTATATATGCATTCTGTTTTGACGCTTGTAACAAGTGTCATTTGATAGTTTAGGGGGGTTGCTGGGAAGACAGAGGTGTGTGATTTGCTTACATTTCACAAAACAGGTACAACAGGTTTTGGTGCCAAATAAATCCTGCAAGTGATATATCAATGCTCTGTGTAATCAGCCTGTTACGTGCCAGAACAAAAATAGTCAAAGGCAGAGGCCAGAATTAAAATCTGGTATGCAGCCAGATCACACAGCAATCTAGTAAACAACACGAAGATGGGCACAGTCCTGGATTAGAACAGATGTTTCTGCATATAGAGGTATGGACAAAATAGAGAAACGTATAGAGCGTAGGGAAGAGCCAAGGGATGGCTACCTGGCATGACGGAAGAACCGGCGAACAAGGACGAGTCACACCAAGAGTACAGAGGTAATAAATGACTGGTTAATTCTGCTGTAACCGGATCACATATAGTGGTTCTTCCCACCATCCAGGGCAACAGTCCACTGGTTGATGTGTTCTTCCTTTCTCTCCAAACATCCCTTATTATGTGCAGTACTTGCACCATTTCCACCTTGAGATCAGTGATCTGTCAGATGAGAAAATTGATCAAAATGCGAAATCGTAAATGAGTGATCCGATTGTAATGTGTGTGTGTTTGTCTGAGCAGTATAATTTGAAAGAAGAACTCTGGGCAGTGGCATCACAAGGGGGTGCGGCCAACACCCAGGTGACACCAAAATGACTGTCAGTCATTTTGGTGTCACCCCCTCTGAAAAGTCGGGCACTCGGTCATGGACAGAGAGCCCGACAGAGAGGAGGGGACTCGGCGGGGTAAGATTAAGGTGAACATCCCCTTCTCTCTCTGCCGGCGTCCATCTCCAAGATGGCCCCCGGCAGGTATCACCAAGATGGCTGTGCATGCGTGTAGACATCATCGCGCACGTGCGTGGTGATGTCACGCGTATGTGCGATAACACCACGGCCGGATGTCACCTGGTATCAGCTCCGGGCGACACCCGACCTTGGGACTCCCCTGACTCCAGGCATATTGCATTTGAACCCTTGAGGTGGGGCTTCCCCCACATTGCAAAGGGGTAAGTGCTCGTTTGTTTAGGTAGCTAAAATTACAGGGATATACTCACCCTAACCTCGATCCTGGCTCGCTTCTAGATCGATCCCTTCAGCCTCATTCCCTGTCTGCTCCAGCGTTGGTATTTCCCTCCTGTCCTGTACACTGTATATAACCTGATGACTCACACAACCTTAGACCGCTGGAGCGGCGGAGGAGACAGGCTAAAGCGATCAGTCTAACAGCCAGCCAGGATCGAGGTTCGGGTGAGTATATCTGTTATTAGGTGAGGTGTACTGAAATGAAAATTTCAAAACTATATTTATTTTTATTTATTCATTTTTTATTTTTTACTTTACTTTTAGCGGCTTCGGGGAAATATTGGGGGTCTAAACAGACCCCTGATATTTCCCTTTTAAAATAGAAAAAGAGATTGAGGACACAGAGTCCTCAATCTCTTTTTCTGAAGCCCGTTATAAATGAACAGGAATGTTCTATGAGTGTTCCTGTTCATTCATAACATGAGGACAGAGTGTGTTTACTATAACCACAATCATGAATGAACAGGAGGTGATGTAGATTACTTCCCATTCATTCATAATTGAGGATATAGTACACATACTCTGTCCTCAATTATTTACAAACACTCAGCGATCACTGATTACTGAGTGTTTGTACCTTGCTCTCCACCCTGACAGCTGTCACAGGAGGCTGAGCGAGCGGAGCGGGAGGAGAGCTCAGCCTGCTGACACAGCACTGGCTGTCTCCGCCCACACTGCTCTCGTCTGATCTGTGACAGGAGGCTGATCTGTGACAGAGGGTGATCTGTGCGGGGAGGAGAGACGCCAGCCGTTCACAGCGCTCTCCTCTCGCTCCTCAGCCGCCTGTGACAGTTTCTCTCCTCCCCTCTGAGACACAGAACAGCGGGGAGGAGAGAAAGAATGGATGCACCGCTGTATCGGCCAGAAAATGGCACTTTCGGCATTATGCCAAAAGTGCAATTTTCGGCTATGTTTCGGCGGCCGATATATCGGTGCATCCCTATCTGTTATATGTATATATCAGCTCTGTTATTTTAGCGCCCTAGAGAAAACAAGCACTTTGTAGCCCTACTGCAAGGGTTAAGATTTAATTTGCCCATAGTTCTTCTTTAAGTCTTGTAGACCGGACCTCTTTTCTTCCAACATTCCTTTTAAAACAGAACTCCAGGAAAACAAATAAATAGACAGTTACAATTTTACAGTATATGTCTACTGTTTTATCTTATATATTACAAGTATTTATATACCAGCAATTTATTCAGTGCTTTACATACTGTACATTCACATCTTTTTAATGCTGGGCACACACCTTACCACCATTGCGATACTTTTGTCTTGCGATGGTTGTAAGGTAATTTAAAAAACGTACGATCTGCCTATCTTGGACAGGCAGATCGTACTTGCGATAATCGCTAGCCCGCCCCGCTGGGGGGCGGGCTTCCGATGACCGCAATGCCGAATGGTCAGTGTGCGCTTGCGCACACCAGCCCGTGCGGCTTTTATCTTGCGAACATGCCACAAACCAGCCAAAAATCGTACAGCCATTGATGTTCGGCAGGTTTTCGAACATGTTCCTAAGATAAAAGTTGTGTGACCTTACCGTAGCAGAGGTCGCACACCTTCCACACACCTTGCGATAATTCCTTGGATTTCCCGCGATTATCGTACGATTATTGCAAGGTGTGTGGGCACCTTAAAGGTGCCCATACACCTTACAATTATCTGCAGATTTTCTGTGGTCAGATGGAAAAAGTGCAACAGATTGGCCCAGGTGGAGATTCCTCCATCCACACAGTTTAGCGTAGATGGAAGAATCTGTTGCACCTTTTCCATCTGACCACAGAAAATCTGCAGATAATTGTAAGGTGTATGGCCAGCTTAAGGATTTGTAATTCTGTTAAGTCTTTCTTGTGATTCACTCACTTCTGCTACACAGCACAGGCACACAGGCGACAAGCTTATTTCCTGATTCAGCAATGCAACTTCCTATGTCACCTGTTTCTCTCCAATCTGCTCTTTGCACAGTTAGTTATCATCATCATCATCATCATCACCCCCTCTGTCTGATTAGCAGGAAGGTGATTTACGAGACAGTAAAGCTGAACCAGGAAGCAGTCAAGTGATCCCCCCGAATTTACAGTATTGGTGTGGTAATCGTAAGAGAGTTAAACAAAATGACACATCTTTTGGCAGGTAAAAGATATACAGGTTTTAAATGTGTTCTGACCTATTTTCCTGAAATCCACTTTATTATAAAAAAGAAAATCTTTACAAGCATGAAAACCACTTCTTTTGGTGAATATGTATTTCATTCCTCCTTAAAGGTGAATTACAAACAGATATAAAAGAAAACATTTTCATAAAGTATTCATAAATGTAGTTACAAGGCAGCTAACATAGGTACCTAAAACTGCCTTGCTATTCTTCATTCTACACACTGTGCTGTACCCTCGTCCCGGGCGCATAGATGGCGGGGGGGGCCTGCCGCAAGCCGGGCCGACTTTCACCAGAACAAGTGGGTACAGTTCTAGTGGATGTTTATATAATATGAGGGGGGGGGCGAAAAAAAAAATGTCTGCCCCGGGTGCCCATAACTCTGGTTACGCCACTGACCCTCTCTGCTCCACACCACCTCATTGTGTACACTGCTGGGCTGGGTCTTCTATGAAAGGGCCAGTTGGTTGTGTTTGCCCCCAGTGCAGAAGTTCCTAGTCCTCCCTGATTAGGCCTTCTATTCTTCCCAGTGTATAGTCACCTTAAGCTGTACTGCTCTTCATCTGATCTCATCTCTACATCCTCTCCAAAGCCAACAGAAAAGGTCACAGGCTGCAGAGACATTTATGTATAGTAATGCACTGGAAACATTTGCATTCATTTTTCTAGTCTGCTCTAAAAACTGACAGCTGAATATGGACTGATATTGGTAATACTGTGTGTGTCCGCTGCAGCTGTGTTTGAAAATTATTGACTTGCATTTTGGATATACTGTAGTGGCTTTTGTGCTAGCTGAAATATTTTCTTTAGGATTGAATAAAGTAGGAACAGATGAGAACCCCTTCCAGGTTTTTATTGTTCTCTGTGACCCCCATCTGGGTAGAGTAAACTTGTCTAATTGGACTCTCTCCCCACTCTGTTAGTGGAGTGGTAAAGAAGCAGCAGCATACTGATGAACTTATCTGTCACTCTGTTCTTTTCTGCTATCAACATGCTCCTTGTACTGCAACTCACCATATTGGCTACTTGTGCTGCCTCTTCTTCCTCCTCTGTGGGCTCTACTGTACAGGGACGTCAGGGGGCTGATATCAGGCACATATACCTTTATGGATGTATTACAGCCCTATATAACAATATGCAGTTGACATCGATGTTTAATTTCAGCTTGTCTAGATATGATAGTAATCTATCTTTATAAATAAGCCTGTTATGAGAGAAGTATCGGGGCTGCCATTGCTGGCCTCATTTTTAAAGCACACGTTCCCTGGCTGTGTCTGACATGAATGGTTTTAAGTCAGAAACCCAGGACAAACATGCTGCAAATGAGTGTCAGAAGAGTGTAAGAATTCCTTATGTCTATACTTGTTCTGGGTCAGCAGCTTAGAAGGCATTAAAGCCAAAACATCAGCATGACGGCTGGGGAACTAGCATTCTCAAAAGGAGAGATCAGCAATGGCAGCCTCCACTGTTGTATCATAACATATTCCCTTTATTTGCATAGAAACTGCAAATATGCTGCCTTTTGCCTAGCAAATATTTTAAAAAAGGTCCTGTTAGACTTTTAAACAGGCATTGAGTGTTTGCACAAGGTGAAGTGTTGTTGGTGAAGACTGAAATGTCTATTTAAAAAGCAGAAATATAGCCAAAATAACCCACTGCACATTTCTATAGCACAGTGGTGGACTTTACAAATGTGCGTTGTGCTATATTGGCTTTGTGAGTCCCCAAAAAACTCAAAAGCCAGGTCATGTGACCTGCTCTCCTCCTGTCAGGAATTTTACTCTGTAGGGTTCTGCAGGGTCTTTACCATGATTTACATTTTATGAGTGGGCTGTTTAATGCAAGCCACTGTGTGTGTAGCCTACCAAAAGACAGAGCAGATGTCGGCAAACCCTGTCCCTCGAGCTGTGGTAAAACTACAAATTCCATCATGCATCTGTCTGTGGCTGTCAGAGTCTCACAGTGTCTAATGAGATTTGTAATTGCACAACAGCTGGAGGGCTGGAGTTTGCCTACCCCTGCTTTATAGGACAACAAAAAGTGATATCTGATTCCCTTTGTTAATTAGCCCATCAGCGTAGTTTTTTTGCACAGCTGGGGTTGAAAAGTTTGAATCCTGGCAGTATGGCTGCATTACAGTGAAGCAGCACATGTTCAGCTTTGTTGTGAGCGATGCTACCAAGTCAGAGCCAGCTTAGCAATACATGGCTGGATTTCACTGAAAGTCTTTTAACAGTTCCATAGAGAGCCCTCGCCCTAAGCAAAGGGCAGCACAAACAGCTTTGGCACTTTGCCCCCACTGCACTGGCTGCCATGTAGATGTATACTCATGGGCTTTTTAGAAAACTGGGATGCCCTCTTTAATAAATGGTCCATGATCACATTAAATTTCTGGGATCAGCTAATTCCTTCCCTGAAGAGATTACAGTCTATTTCTGGTGCCTGTAGTGAAGAAAGGCAAAATAGGTAATCTGTGTCACTGCTTCTCAATCAGAGCGCATGCTGTATAGTTCAGAACCATCTGTGTGTCTATGCTTGTATAATGGAAATGAATGCATGCTAAAAAACGACTTTCCTGTTTTATTAGGATGTTACAGAAGAGCACAAGAATGGGTAAAGATTTCCGTTACTACTTCCAGCATCCATGGTCACGCATAGTTATTGCTTATCTGGTGACGTTTTTCAATTTTTTAATATTTGCCGAGGATCCCGTGTCTCACAGCCAGACGGAAGCCAATGTCATTGTTGTAGGGAACTGCTTTTCATTTATAATGACTAAATATCCAGGAGGAGCTTGGAACTTTTTAAAAGTCCTTCTTTGGCTTATTGCCATCATCGTTGGGCTTGTTGTCGGGAAGCTCCTATTTCACCAACGTTTATTTGGTAAGTGGTATATATTTTTCATATAACATTATGCATCTTTGTTAGTGGTTAAGCATTCCTGCAGTTAATTATTTGATTACAAATGGGTCAGGTGAATGATTTTGGTAAAAGAAAATGTTGTAGATTGTAGGTGCAGTCAATTTGGTCACCCATACGTATATTCCATACATAGTGGGTTTTTTTCTCTACCAAAGAAAAAATGCATTTTGAAAATATACATTCAAAGATGCCAGATAACAAAGGTCCAAGGTAACAAAAACACACAAAACGAAGTGTCAGCTGCCAAATCAGTGACCATTCAATCAAACCAGGCATATCTTTGTCAAACACACCGACATACAATATCATATGCTAAAGAAAATACAAAGTATCTAAAAGGAAGCCCAGGAAACTATATATATATATATAATGTGTATATATACTAGCAAGAAGGTCCAATGCTGCTAGTCCATATGGAGAGGAGAGGGAAACCCCAGTGAAGAAAACTAGAAAAAAGATAAAGGGGGGCATAGTGCAAAAAGACCAATAGTGTAGTTAGTTAATATACAATAATTGATTGAAATAAAGGCAGTAGGTATTGCACTTACAAGTGACCATGACAGAGAAGTAGCAGAAACAACCACATCTATGCAGAGGGAGATAATCACATCGTAGCTGGTGCTGTCCTGCCCTGACCGTGGGCTGACTCTCGATGGTTGATAGATAGTTAGAAGTGACTCGCCGTGTGTTGTCCAAGAAAGAAGGAATCACTGGCTCCCATGTTGGAAACACCACCCACTCTCAATGAGGTGATGTTTTGTAGATTTTTGAGCATTCCTAGGTCTGCATCTTACCCAATATTAGTCTGGGAGATGAGCCTTATAGTAGTCAATGGGGATGTACTGTGCAGACACGGTCAGGAGAAGATGTCCACTGTAAGATGTAAACCAACAACCGAGGCTGGGCCCATTGGAACTTGGTAAGTATTCATCTGTACATAGGGAGGGAGCGAGTTGTAATCTCAGCTTGAAGGGATCTGAAGCATAAATGCAATTTGTTTATAAAGTGCACTTATACTTTTAAGGTGAATCCCATTAAACTGAGGGCTGTTGTTAAATTCTGGACATTTTTAGAGCCAATAGGGAAATTACTGTAAAAAAAGGTAAAGGAAGCCACTGCCATGGGGGGCATATACCAATGCAAAATAAATGTAAAGAAAATACTGCGGGGTAAGGGTCTTCTCATGTAGCTTCAAGGGCAACATTTCAAATATGCGAATCCTTTAAATTAAATGCTTGCGAATACCTTAATAATATATGTGGTGTTACAGAACAGTATGATTTTCACTGACAGTCTCAGTGACAGATTACACAGTTAGAGCATATTTGGCTGTAAAATATTTTTTTTTAATCAGCTTGGCATACATAACACAGAAGCACCCTAATATGATTCATTTCAGTTTGATAAAAAGGATTTTTTTTTCAGCTAGCTTCAGCAGCAACACGTTTTTTCATCAAATACTAATAAGCTTGCTTTGACTGGCAGATAGAAATTGGCCAATAGTTCACTTTGGCCACCTTTGTTCTCACTGATACAAAACTGTCCGGTGGCTGTCCAAGTTTTCTAAAGCTTTCATTAAGATTTAAGAGACTGCAGATAATATAGCAGTATAAAACTGGCCAGCAGCAGGACATTTTTAATGAGTGAGAATCGGCTGAAATGTTGCTTGAGAAAAAGGGTACAAGTGGGTGTTTTGCCACAAAAATGAAGAGACCACAGATGACACAGCAGTCTAAAATTGTCCAGCAGCAGGATAATTTTAAATAGCAAGGCTAGGCCCAATGTACTAGAGACAGAGAGCGGAGGCTGGGCCTTCACTACAAGAATTAAGATACTGCAGAGGATACAACAGTGTAAAGGTGGCCAGCAGCAGGACAGTTTTAGTCAGGGAGTATTGACCTAACTAGTGCATGTCTCACTTTAAAAAAATCTATGTTAGGAGTTGCATTGAATGTGAATGCTATGTGAGGTGCTTCAGGTGCACACTGTTCTAGCTTTGCTAGAGGCGGATCACTGGAGATTTGTGCATCAGTGGTTGGGGGCTTTTCAAAGACGCTATCGCTTTCCCCCGAATGGGCAAAGATACAGCGTCTTTAACGTGTGTGGTGATGCACTGCAAAGCCCGAGCTATATGTGAACCTTTCCCTCAATTTGGCATTATACAAATATGAAGCCCCTTTGGGCCCATTCACACTTGTGAATCCTGTGTTACCACTACTCACAGCAATGCACATATCATGGTGCGTTACAATGCATTCCTCTACACGAATACAGTCATTAGCTATATGATTATACTTCAGTGGACCACAAGGGCTGATTGGTAATGGAGAGCTAATTTTTTTAATTGGACACTAAAAAAGAAAATATCAGCAATGAAAATTAAAGGGGTACTATTTTTCTTTTTGTTTAGATACTTTTTTTTTTTAATGATATGAGAATAAAACCGTGTCATATACTATAATTGCAATCTTCCCCTTGTGATTCATCTATAACATAATCAAGGATATTGAATGGTTTACATTTTTGAAAAATACAGTACCATCTGTAGTAGTCACAGAAGGGGGGTTTTATTGTTGGTTGAAAAAAAATAAAATGATTAAAAACAGGTTTAAATAGTAATGGTTAAGTATTAATGGAACAATTACAGCTAAGGGGAAATAAAATACAAATACATTTTATTTGAAAAAAAAAGTTTTTTTTACTTGTAAGGTTGTTTTAAATGACCTCATATGCAAATAAAAGGTAATTACTTATTAGATTTTAATGAAACATACAGACAATGTATGAAGTTATTATGTTTCTTTGTATTTTTTCTGAATTGTTTGTAAACACTGCTCAGAGGCAGGTTAGGCCTTGTTCACACCAAGCATGGAGCAGGTGCAGAGCAGTTGCAGACCGGATCAAAACTGCGTCCAATGTATTCCAATGGTATTTTTTGCTCCAGTTCACATCGCAGCGTGCAGTTCCAAAGCAGGTGAAAAAACTGCAGCAAGCCCTATTTTACCTGCTCTGGAACGCATGCAAACACATAAAAAATGCATCAAAAAAACACATGCAAATGCCTGGAACGCACTGAAAGCCCATGTTAAACGAAAAAAAATAAATTATTTTTTTAACCAAAAATGGCCTGGAATGCATCAAAAACACGGCAGAAAACGCGGCACAACCCACTGCACTGTGTGTGCAGAAACCTGAGCGGATCTGCTCTGCATTTGGTGTGAACAAGGAAGAAATACAAAGTAACATTACTACTTTTTTGTATTTCCCAAATGTAACTTCGTCAATCCAGAATGGTGGGCAGAGCTTGTGCCCAGGGGAGGGGGGCGATAAGGGTGGTGGTCTGGGTCATGAGTGGGTGGCGAGGGGAAGGGGGCGATAAGAGGGTGAGAGCGATAGGGTTAAAGAGGGGCAATGGTTACAGCCTTGTGGCTGGCTGTGGCTGTGAGAGCAATGAAGAACAGAGAGGAGCACATAGGAGGTTGTACAGCACTGCAGAGTTAAGGTGCTCATACACTGCACGATTTTCGTACGAGAATCGCGTGAAATCCTGTGATCGTACGATAATCGTGCAGTGTATGGAGAGCGTGCGACCGTTTCTACTGTACGGTCGCACGTCTTCCATCGAACCAGCATGGTAGAAAACCCGCCAAGAATCGTACTATTCTCGGCGAGTTAGTGGCCTGCATGTTCGACAACTGCCCGTTTGCAGTCAGCGTAAGCCCGCCCCTCATTACAGTTATCGTAAGCCCACCCCTCAGGGGGGAAGGCTTGCGATGATCGCATGTAAGATCTGCCTGTCCAAGATGGGCAGATCGTACGTTTTTTAAAGTACTTTACAACCCTCGCAAGACAAAAGTCTTGCGAGGGTTGGCGAGGGTTGTAAAGTGTATGGCCACCTTTATTGTGAAGGTGATCTACAGCTGTTGATCAGTTAACTTGGTCAGAAACAGGATGACAGCTGAAGAAGTCAGTGCCTGCACCACTGACAGCCACTGCACCACTCAAATATGGGGTCAGGGGGAGCAAAAAAAGAGAAAGGGAAACTGACTCTGGGCAGGACACTGAAGAGGGACACTGTGAACTTATAAATGTGATCAGCAACCATTCAGCTGCCTGATCACATTCAAAAAGCTGCGCACAAGTTGCCAATTTTAGATTCTGTTTGAATGTGATCAGCATCTTGTTAGACACTGATCACATTGATTATGTAAAAGACAAAGTGACAGGTATTATTTGAGCGTATGTTCAAGGTTGCTGAAGTGACCATGAGCTTACAGGTATATAAAAAGCAGAGGCCGTAAAGGTCAGGCTGCAAGCCGTTCTGCTCAGACCCAACTCTTACATCTGCGGCATCTAAAAGGTTAAAGCCCAACTCCAGCCACAGTGATTTTCTGTAATGGACAATGAACCACAACGTGGCTGCTGCTGTATGTTCCGGCAACTGCTCAGTGGGCTTATGCACACTTATTTCACAAAGACATTTAGTACCGTTTAAACAGAAAGTTTACAAAATTGTAAAGGATCCAAAAATCACCATTGCATGAGCTGGGATTACAAATACTGTAGAGCAATAAAACAATGTGTCTGAGTAGATGACATCACTCAGGAATGTGCAGAGGAGAGGACTTAAGGGATAGTGTGCAAAGTGCAGGGCTGCTTGTTTCTATTAGAGAGTGTATATAAAAAGCAAGAATAATGTCGAGACAGAAAATGAATGGCCAGTGTTAAAAATGGTAAGGGGAACATTAGTGCTGGTGGCTCACCGTGTTATACACTGATAAAATGTAAAGCATATTGGGTCTAAAACATCTAATTAAATATCAGCATGTGGCCTTTATTTATAATGTGACATCAGGCACTCAGACACACTGTTTTCAAGCTGAACAGTCTTTTCATTTTAGCAGGGAAACCCCTGCTAAAATTATTATGTCTTCAACTCATGGTACGTTAGCAAGATCAGT